TTTGTCTCCAGTTGTTCTGCGTCGCCCTGAGCTTCGTGCTTGGCCATAAGACTCTGTACCGCTGTGCATGCATACCGGTAAAGCAGCTTTGCTTTATAGACATGCCTTGCAGAAGCTAAGACTTCAGAACAAACTGCGACTCCGCGAAGAGCACAGCTCACCTCTTGGCCGCGTGTCACAGACTCTGGCCCATCAGCTAAAGCTGAGACCATGGACACCCCTCCAAGTTTGGGACCCTTTCTGGTGCTCAGCGATAGCACCTTGCAGCATATGCTGCGGGGACATACGTACGGAGTGTTCCCATTGCTGACGGGACAGGTCTTAAGCTGTCCAGGCGCCGCCCTCAATATTTCTGCTAGCAGCGTCCCCTCCATCATGGAGCTCCTCCACTGGCAATTTGGCCTCTTTGGGCCGCACAAATTCAAGGCGGCGGTTCAGAGTCAGCCGGTAGCCTCCATTTTGGAGAGCCACCTTGATGGACAAATCAACGTTCGCTTCATTCCGCTGTCAAGAAGCTTGCGCCCGGAGAAGCAAGTCAATTATGACTACCTGATAGACGGCAGGGTCCAATATGGTTTTGCGGAAACCTGCCAAATCAGGAAATCATGGATTTGGCACAGATACCTGGAGTAGGAGGGGTAGAATGGCTCTACAACTCCAAAAATCTCCACTTCCGCCCCGATGTTGCGGACATCGTCATCCCGGCACTTGTCACAAGAGCCATCGAGGAAATGCGCAACACCCCAGGACTGCCTGTCCTCGTGGTTGCTGGCTGGAATGCTCGCCAGCAGGACATGCATGTCGAAATGCTGGCAGCCCAGGCTCTGTCACAATGCCGCACTGTCCGAGATCTTTCGGAGGTTGCCATGCAGTACGGACATGGCCCCTGGGGTATGCGCTTCATGCATCTCCCAGAATGGGAGGCCGCCCCCGTCCCGGCCCTCCTCTTTCAGACCTATGTCCACGACGACAAGCCGGAGCCCGCCCAAGTTGCGGTCAAAATGTTTGCAGGCTTCACCCGCAAATTCTGTGACGATGGTATCCTTCGGGCTACCCTGCGGCAACTTGCCGGAAAGTACGGCTCCAATCTAGCCGACGTGTTCCGCTACGTCTACCACTACCAGCACGGCGGCCTCTATGTCGATATTAAATGTGGCTTTGTGGTACCCTGGGAACAGGTACTGCAGCTCCTGGCAGCAGATTGGAGCACAGCTCACTCAACGAAGGCAGGTGAAGTGGGTCACAGACCCTCCCCACCTGGCCAACTCCCAAAGGAGTTCATGGTCATGGCCATTGGAGTCAAAGGAGATCACATCTTTCAAGGCATCATCTATGGCAAGCCCAGGCACCCTTTGATGAGGGAGGCCATACAGCACGCCTTCAGCCGTCAGGTTATGACAGCGAAGGCGAACCTGGAATACATGATCTTCTGCAAATTTCTCTGGCAGATCTTGAGTCGAGACCTTGGTCATTCCCCTCAAGCGGGCTGGAATGTTTCCGCCAAGTTTGGCCCCATCTACCTGTTCTCGGAGCGCTGGGACAAGCGCGTGAAGAACAAAAAGTATGACAACGATGGCCACTACTTTGTGACAGCCAACAACACGACAGTCGCCTACACCAGGTGCTGGAAGTGGATGAAGGGCTTTCAGGGAGACCCCACCACCAAGGAACGAACCGATCGCATGCTGCAGAGCCAGCTTCCCGACATCTCCCTGGAAATCCAGTCCGATCGACCTGAAGAGCACAGCTCACCTCAGCCACTTAGGTCACAGACCACGGCAACCGCCACATCAGCTCCTCCTCCTCCTACTCAGGAGGATATTGAAACCTATGTGGCAGACAGCATCCAGCACAATTCCTTTGCGGCGCTCATGGCCACAGTCCGCGAGACCCATCATTATAACCAAGATCTTACAGAGCAGGATGTGCTGGAGCTCATCCCTCGCGGCTTGGGACAAATGGAGGTTTCAGGATCCATGTGGCTGTGCTGCCTCCACTGCCGGAAGCATAACCGACAGATCCAGTTCAGCACTGGCCACGGCCTCAAAAACCACTTTGTCACGCAGAAGCATGACCCTGTGTCACAACCTGCGGCACCAAGCGACTTGTCGGCATCCCTCGCACCACTTCCTCCCCCTCCCCCAAAGCATCCACAGGAGATCCCTCTTCCCCCCAGCAGTACCAGGACCAAAGGAACAGACAAAGCAGCCGGCTTTGAGCCGCCGCCTTCCCCCCCCTGCCCTTTCACTTCCTCAGCGGCCGAAAAGGCGGCTTTCAAGGCAAGCCAGGCGGAAGCACCGAAGGCGGCCCCCGCTTCCGGCTAAGGCCCCACCGTCCATGGTGCCCACCCCATGCCCCCAGCCTCCGGAGAATTCCTCCTCGGCAGCACCTGCTCCCCCACCGGCTATCCCTGTTTCCCCGATCCCTCCGCACCCTCCCAAGTCCGCCTCTTCCCCTGCCCCTGCCACCCTGGCCGCTGCGCGCTCCCACACGCCCCCTCCTCCTTCCCCCCGTCCCCCGTCAGCATATGAGCCCCCGGAAACCAATGCGGCATCCGTTGGTTATGTTCCACAGCCGGCACCACAACAGACAGTACGACACACGAGGCAGGAGCTGGCTCAACTGCTGAGCTCCCAGTCCCACCAGGACTGGATTCGGGCCTTGGCTTCCATTAATATCCTGGTGGCTCCCGTCATTCTCGGCGGCCTCACCAACCATGAGCAGCAGACCCTCTGGTCTACCAGGATGGACGCCCTCCGCGAGGTTCCCCCGCTGTTCTCTGCCATCAAGTCAGTAAGGACACAAACAGGCCTCACATGGGACATCGCCATGTCGGTGAGGCGGGTCCTCACCAGCGATGGGAAGGTCACTATAGCCACAGGCGCGGGAGGAGCCTATCGTGAGCTGGATGCCCCCACAAAGGTGCATGGCCTTATCCATGCCTGCTTCAACAAGATGTGGGACGAGAAGGACTTTCAGCAGCACTTCCCCTCGTGGGTCGAGTTCAACATGATCGCCACTACCATCGTGGCAGTCTACAATGAGACGGCCAAATCAGCCGGACTCCCAGCTCGTGTCTTCAGGGTCAAACCCAACAAAGATGCCTACTCCATCATGAAGATGCGGATTCAGCATGACAAGGGGCACGAGGAAGACAAGCGCATGGCCAAACTGGCTGCTGCTGCTGCCCCTAACAAGCGCCCACAGATGCAAGAGGCTGACACAGAGGGCAAGCGTCAGCGCGATGCCCCCTCCTCTTCATCCTCGACCCAGTGGGCCAGGCAGGCACGCTCCTCTCAAGAGGACGACTGGGACTGGTGGCAGCAGTGGTCCTGGCACAGTTACTCCCAGCAGTGGCCGAAAGGTCACGACCAGTGAGGGTAGAGATATGTCACAGACTGTTTGATCCCTTATGTCACAGACTCTGGGAATTCGGAACTCTTCCGACGCTTAGCAAATCTCTTCGGAAGCCTGTGCACCGCGAGCTAACCTTGCTTAAAACAGCACATCACTGCATCAGAGAGTTGCCCACGTCCAAGTTGCCAACAGCCTCACTCCATCGGAGATGCATTCAGGTACATGCGGTCATGGGCATATGACCCTTACGGCCTTCTGTCTTCAACATGAGTAATCCGTGTGGGGCGCCACGAGACGGATACTCCAGGTGTCGGCTTCGTCTGAGGTACGGCCTAATTGTTGTGACAGGTGCACAGATGGACGCGTCTGTTCACACCAAGGTGTCGGAGGAGGAAGCTTTTGTAGCTGTAGTTTTCAAGTTTGAGCTGATTAGAGAGGTATGAGCGATGCATGCTAGAAGCAGTTTCACGAGTGCACGAGACCAACGGCGCCCGCAAAGCGCAGAGCACGCTCGCGCAGCGTTCAATTGAAAAAATAGTAGTAGTAGTAGCAGTAGTAGTAGTAGTAGTAGTAGTAGTAGTAGTAGTAGTAGTAGTAGTAGTAGTAGTAGTAGTAGTAGTGGTAGTAGTAGTAGTAGTAGTAGTAGTGGTAGTGGTAGTGGTAGAGTTGCCGTACAAGTAGTAGTTGTGGTTGTAGGAGCAGCAGCTATAGCTGAGCATGAGATTACTTGCTGTAGCTCTATGTCCATGGAAATGCTCGTTATTTGACCCTCACACCTTCTTGCCAGCATCGTGTCCTCAACGCGTGTCATATACGTTGACACTGCAGGCAACGTTGGACAGGAGCAGCTGCGAGCACTCCGGAATCAGGGAAGGGGGAGGGTTGATTGGATGTTTGCCATGAGGGCCTGGACCCTGAACATCGGGCTGATCTCAACATCCCCGGACTACTTAGAACGAGCCCCTATCTTCCTGCCACCCCAGGTCAGGTCCAGAATGAATAATGCCAAATCCAGGCTGCGGTGTTCAGGGTATAGGCATAGGCAATGTAGGATTTTGAAAACCGCGGCCTACAGCCTACAAGCACTAAATCCCATGCCCTTCGAGCGCAAACGAGCCCTAACTGACTTTCGGTCCTTGAATGAATAGTCGTTTCAGACAGTCCTTGTATGTGGTACTCATCATGCAGTAGTCGTAGTTCCAACGCCTTGCATTGCTTCATCGTCATTGCAGAGCCAATGCCGCAGCAGTAGCTTAGTGGAGCCGTAGCATCTGCAGCCACAGTGCAATGTAGTAGTAGGAGTGGCAGTAGGAGTAGTAATTAGGAGTAGTAGTAGTAGTAGTAGTCCTGCCAGATAGAAGCCTCCTTGAATCCTGTGTCAGGGCTTCAGCCCACTTCGCGTACAAAGTAAGGTAAACCTATACAAGTTCACAACTACCGGGGCATGTATACACACACGGAGGAACATTCATACACAATTTCATATGTGCATCCGCAAATTCACAAGCTGATACAACTTGCGTTTTTGCAAGTAAACCAACCAGTGAGTATCCTGCCAAACTCTGTCCCTACACCCTAAACCCGAAGAACCTAGAGCATCTTGCGCTCAAGCTCCGTTCAGCTCAGTCGTTTCTTGACGCGCCATGGCCAACAGCACAGCATGGTCCCAAAAAGGGCTGGAGACCTGGTTCTCCTCTGTGTGTGACGATGGCCAGCAAGCCTGGCAGGTCGTACGGGACGAAGGAGACGCCTACATCATTCTTGAAGATGAAGGGTGGCTCCAGCTTGACTTGAAGGGCCAAGACTTGCCAGCTGAGTGGCAGGAACGGTGCCCAGATGACGGACAGACGCACTGGCTCTATTACAATAGGTCGCCAGTTCGGAAGGCCGTGCAGTTGGAGACCAGCGGCACGTGTATGGACCCCAACACAGAGGAGATCAGGTCCTTCAGGCCAGGTGACATGATGGTGCGGGCTGGCGAGAACAACTTGTATTCGATGACCTGTGCGGTTTTCGATGAGCGCTACGGTGTTATAGGCGACGAAGAGGCTTACGATAAATACATCCATGAGCTGCAGGAGGCTAGGAAGGAAGCCATGAAGCGTTACGCTGCCATTGTGCCGAAGCAGAAGAGCAAGCTGGCTCGTGCATCGGCGGTGGCTACGTTTTCTTCAATCAGAAACAGTGCTGGTATGGATGTTATGTCCTTAGTGACATGCTGTTGCTTTTGTATTATAGTTAGTGTATCATTGTTGTAACCATGTTTTAGATGCAGCGGTGCGAGAACTTCATGGAGAACAATGGTTGGACTTGTTTCAGGTCCAACGTGACCTGGAGTTGGAGGACCAGGAGGATACACTCGTGGCGGTTAAAAAGGCCAGGGTTGCTCCTGATGCATCTGCTTCGAGTGCTTTGCCTTCGCCCCTGCCTCCTTTGCCGTCATTCTTGTCGGGAACGGGCACATGCACATTGATGGATGGAGACACGGGGGACTCTGATGTGGTGATCCGGAGTGAAACTACAGGTGAAAGAGGGGCTGAGTGTGACAGTACTGAAGGGTCTGATGTCGAACAGCCTGGGGTTCCTCGCCAGTGAGTACCTGATTCAGTTGTCCACCTACTGAAATGCCGAAGGTTTTCTCAGGGTGATTGCCGAGCAAGCAAGGTAATCCGCCCGCCCATTGGGGCTTTCTAGACGCGGAGTGCAGACAGAAAAAGGGCCCTTAAAAAACAAAGACCGAAGAACCTCAAGCCCTCCCAAACCCCAAGCCCAAGTTCAAATAAGAAACCAAACCCTAAACTCTAAATCCCCCTGATCCCGGATATATGCCCGTTCCCCTAAACTCCAAACCCGAAAGACCCCAGAGACTCCAAGCTACCTTAATCATAGTGGGGATCCTACTGTAATTTAAGGTATTATAAGGGGTATTGGAGTCTCTGGATTCTAAGGTCCTGGGCGAGCGCCTGGTTCCAGCGGCTGCGCCGCGGCTCTTGGCGGCTGTTGCCGGCCTCAGGCCCCTCTTGATCTCCGGTATATACACGGATGTACGTGGGGTTTCGGGATTTAGGACTGATTCAGGGGATAAGGGTTAAAGTGCAGGTTGAATTATTGGGGATGTGTGGTGTCGGGATTTCGGGGATGGATTTGATGCAGGTGTATCTGGTTTCACAAGGGTTTTGAGGGGTTTCGGGATTGAGGTTGTTTCGGTTTAGGAATAATGATGGCCATGGATGTAATCTACCGGTTCGATCGATGCCGATTTGTCACCGATTATTTAGCGATGTGATACTGGTACGGTTGCTGACATAAATCCTGCATTACCCATGATAAGCAATATACCATAATTCCCACAGTTTAGGGTCCTTAAGGTAATGCAGGATTTATATCATCCACCATAGTATCGCTTGGCATCGGTGTTGTTCGGCGTCGATGTTGAGATCCGAGCCCCAGCCCTGATAGGTTGGCTGTAGAGACGCAACCCTAAACCCTAAACCATAGGTTCCCTAAGCCCTAAAACTTAACCCTTGTGCCATGTTGGCGGCTCCCAACCAAAGACCCCGACCTCCAACCCCAATCCTCCACTACGAAATCCAGGCCCTCCCAACCTCGCCCTCGCTCTCCAGCCCTTCCAGCCCTTCCAGCCCTTCCAGCCCTTCCAGCCCCAGCAGCAGAAGAGGCAGTGGCAGTGAGGCACGAGCAGAAGGGGGGAGGAGGAGCAGTGGAGGCAGCAGCAAGAGTAGAGGAGGCAGCAGCATCAGAAGAGGCAGTGGCAGATAGCAGCAACAGCAGTAGAATGAGGCAGAAGAAGCAGCAGAGGAGGAGGAGGAGAGTGACGTCGCGTTCATGCTGAGGCCTTAAGCAGGTTTCGATGTAAATCCCTCATAAGCCCGAAGAAAGGATCCTTTTGAACGTTTCTAGGCTCATGTCTCCCTTGCATGTGCAGATTGCGGCAGGCTGTCAATAGGAGTGGATGCGACACCATCCGACATGCATCTTGGTCGCAGGTATGCTCATCATCATGTCAGGCAAAAGAACGCTGGAGATAAAAATTCAATGAAATGGAACTCCGTGCCTGGATTACAACGTGAAGCGCAGCTGATGTTTTTGACTTTTGAGGATATAGGGCTTTTACTTGCAGTTGTCGTTGATGTTATGTCATTAAACCGAAATCCATCCGTCCATCCATCCATCCCTCCATCCATCCTCTATTCTGGTCTCTGATGTTGCGCTCAGGATCGCGGCTGTTGAAGCTGCCGTTCGCGAGAGCGCACGTGCCGTGCCTCCGAAAGGTACCTTGGCGCTCCTTGACTGATCCCTGGGAGGCTTACTTTACTACCCAAGGCCCCAAAGTAGTTCCTTTTTGGGGTTACCTTATAGAATTCTAAATATGAACCCCAAAAAGGAACTACTTTGGAGCGTTTGGGTATAGTCTCCTCAGGAAGTATTTTTTAAATTTTCGTTCATATAAAACCCAAGAATATTGAAAACATCGTATTTGTTTTTAATATGGTTCTACGGGGGGGGGTTACTTTAGGGTTATCGAGTTTACGGTTTGAGGTTTCAGATTTTTAGGGTTCGGGCCACGGATCTCCGCGATGAGGGGGTTTAGGGTTTAGGGGTTGGACCCCAAAACACAGACAAGGCCTGTCAGTCGGAGGTTTTGACAACCACTGCTAGACGTTTCCCTAGGGATCCATGTACCCCACTATTTGGGTACATGGAGCCTTAGGGTTTTCTACGGGTAGGAGCCTGCAATAAAGAAGCACCGCAAGCATAAACTGGAACTACGGAGGAGGGTACAGCTCATCAAGGTAGTGTTAGGACCTTGAGGAATCTTGAGGACAGCAGCATGGGGTCAACATGTAGATCTTGGGAGGCTACCCATGCAAGAAGCTGTGTAGCGATATGTCGAAGGTAAGTATGGTTGGCATTGGATGAAGTGCTTGGTGCTCAGGGCCAGCAAACATAAAAGTATCTGAACGTCAATCCCCTACAGCACGACAGTCAACTACAAGCCTTGAGCCACTATTTAGGGTGCAGGGTTTTGGGATTTTGGGTTTCGCGTTACGGTTGATTCTTCAGCCCCAAACCAAACTGTGCAGCATCCAGCCTTGCCAGAAGCCCGAAATCCCTTCAACACGAAACCCGGCGCCACAGCCTCAAGCTCTGCCTCAGGGCGCTTCCACCTTTGTGCGCACGCCAGGCCCCTTCTTAGGTTATTCCCGTATGGACAGCAGACTGACAGATAGATAGACATATCGGTATCGTTATCAGTCGATGAATCTGTCTATCTATGCAGGTGCGCAGCGGCTTCATTCACAGGTCTTCAGTGGGTTGATTGGGCGATGTCTACGCCTGCCCATATAGGCCCTAAAGTAGTTCCTTTTTGGGATTACCTTATAGAATTCTAAATATGAACCCCCAAAAGGAACTACTTTGGGGCCTTTGGGTACACTCATTGACTCATGACTTTCGACTTTAGGCTTTGACGGTTCCGGCGTGGTGTCTGTGGGTAGTACTTAAAGGATCATGGGACTTAGTAACTCAGGTTACTGTTAGGGTAACTATACTTATAACTACTTTTACCCCCAATTAGGGTATTGATAACATTACTTACGAAGTCCCATGATCCTCCAAGTAGTGCAGGCATTTCGAGTTAATCCAGTCCGTCGCTAAGATGCCGTGACCGCGGTGACGAACCCCAAACCCTGCGTGGACCTTTATTAATAAGGTCCATGTATTAGTGTAGAAGCCGGGCAGGTCTTGACCCGCATCTCGCTACTCTTTGCCGCTTTGGTCAGCCATTTGGTGACCAACGAAGGCTTCCGGGTTTAGGGGCTTAGGGGTTAGGGTTTAAGGGTTTAGGGAATTGGGGGTTAGGGGTGAAGGGTTAAGGGTTTAAGGGTTTGGGGGATTGGGGGTTAGGGGTTTAGGCGTTAGGGGTTTAGGGGATGGGTTAAGGGTTTAGGGGTTTGGGGGATTGGGGGTTAGGGGTTAAGTTTAGGGGTTTAGGGGATAGGGGCTTGGGGCTTAGGGGTTAGGGGTTGAGGGTTTAGGGGATTGGGGCTTAGGGGTTTAGGGGTTAAGGGCTTAGGGGTTAAGGGCTTAGGGGTTAAGGGCTTAGGGGTTAAGGCTTTAGGGTGTTGGGGGTTAAGGGTTTAGGGGATTGGGGGTTAGGGGTTTACGGGATTAGGGGTTTAGGGATTTGGGGGTTTAGGGATTTAGGGGTTTAGGGGTTTCGGAGTTTAGTGGATTGGGGTTTAGGGGTTCAGGGTATAGGGTGAAGCTGCCCCAAAGGGTCCAAAGTACCTATATCATTAACGACACGTGTGCTCAACTAACAGAAAAAGTGCGCAAGCATGTTAACCTATTGGTCAACAACACCTTGCTGTGCAGGTAGCAGCTGCTGTTCCAAAGGTCAGAGTGTAAATAAAGGCTGCAACGGCTGAGGTAAGCAAGCATGCTGCCTAGATAAACCCATGACCAAGAATGCGTGGCTACAGCCCAGGAGAACTCTTGGACCTGCGTGAGCTGCGAGCGCGTTATGAACAACACTCCGGCTGGAGGGAAGACCAGGGCAGCGCGGGAGCACAGGGTGTGTTCCTCTTGCTGGAATGTCAGCAAGCAACTCAGAGACAATGGCGTTAGCCTCGCCATGATACTGCCCGAAAAGGACCACCAGGTTCAGTTCTTCCAAGACGTGGCAAAAAAAGAGCTGATGGCGTCTTGAAGTTTTCCACGGCCAAGCATTGTCTAATCTCGCAGCTGGCGTTCACGTACGAAGAGAAGTTCGCAAAGATATCCAAGCAGAAGGAGATGCCAAAGAAGTACTGGCTCGACAAGGGTTTCGACGAGGATATAATCCTGAAATGGCCTTGTGTGGATGCGCGCTTCCCAAAAAAGTAAAATGTAGGGTTTTCTAGACTAGGAATTACGAGTTCTCACAACTTGCCAGTCAGAAAATGCCAAAATTGTAAGCCAGTGTGTCGAGAGTCTAAACCACAAGACTAAAGACCCCAGAGACCTGCAATGTAGTGCATGCCTATGCCCTGAGCCCTGAGCGCTGAAGCGTAAACCCCCAACCCCAGACCCTGCACTCGGAAACCTAAGACGGAGCATGCAGGGCATCGGGCATACGGGTTCATAGGGTTTGGGAGTTCAGGGTTTAGGGTTTCAGATTGTGCTCACCAGGTTTGCTGGAGATGCAAAACCCTATTTTGTACGAACGAACGGGCTATACCGTGCTACAGGTAGGTTCGAAGGTTGTAATTCCGACTTCAGTGCAGTGCCCTTGGAACTCTAAAGTTTGGGTTGAAGCATCCCGCAAACATGGCTGTTGCGACAGTTGAAGTAGATGCGTCCTGGACCGTGCATTCCCTATATAAACCCTAAACCCCCAGACCCTACACCCGAAACCCTTTCCTCCTCTTTTAGCTTAGTGACCCCTGAACTCGCGTTCAGGGGCGCGTTCGCGTTCAGCGTTCTGTTCTCAGGGCGCGTTCAGGAGCGCGTTCTGTTCTCACTGTGTGGCCCCTGAACCCTAAAAATGTCAAAGTTGCACTAAAAAACGGCCACAGAAATTAAGGACCGGAGATCGAGAATTCAAATTTGGGACGGAAAATTAAGGACCCGGGGTCTAAAAATAAGGTTCGCGACCGAAAATTAAGGACCGGAGCTGGAGACTTGAGGTTTTGGGACCAGAAATTAAGGACCGGTGCTTTAGAGCTTTAAGGTTCGGGACCTAAAATTAAGGACCGAGGCTCCCAAACTAGGGTTTGGGATTGAAAATTCAGGACCGGAGCTCGAGAATTAAGGTTTGGGACCAGAATAAGGGGAGTGGTGATATAAAATTAAGGTTTAGGACCTACACACCGTCACAACACACATATAACATGGCCCCCCAACCCTAAAAATGTTAAAATTACCCACAAGAAACCCCAAGCTTTCAACCCTCAAACCCAATGACCCTGAAGCCCCAAGCCCCCCGCCCGACCACAACCCGGTCGTCGCGCTGCTGCTTCGACGTGGAGCTGCACAAGGTGCCCTTACCAGCCGGCCTGTAAGCTTTTGGGGTTTGAATTTTTTAGGGTTCGGAGTTCGGATTTAAGGTTTGATCGAGACTCGAGTCCTTGAGTTCGCAGTCTTAGTCTTACCGGAGTTTTACCGTGTTACCATTGTATTGTGCCTTAAACGTAAACCCTGAAACCCCGAAACCCTAAATAAACCCTAAAACCCCCTGAGCCCAAACCGCTTAAAACCTGCAAACTCCGAAAACCCCAAACACACCCAGAGAGCCCGAGGGACCTTTTAATCCAGGGAGATACCTTAAGCCATAATCCATCCATAATCCGATCCATATCCGAATCCATAATATGGGAGTTTCCGAAATTTCGGGGTACTTTGGATAATCAGGATCCTACTACATTTGGGGTAAGTAGTAAGTAGGATATGCCGTCGCTCGTGATTAAATTAGCACGTGGCTCTGAGCTCGTACTTAGATAATAATATTTAATAAATAGTATAGAAACTTCCGCCAAACTCCCTAAACCATAAACCCCTGAACCCAGGACCGTTTCAAGGCCCAAGGACCCTTTAGGAAGCTGTATCTGGGGCCCCAAGACTTTTCACGAAGCTGTATCAGAGGCACCGAAAATATGAGTTATATTTAAAGTTACCCCACTTATAACTTATAACTTATAACCCGAATTAACTACTACTAACTATTAACTATTAACTACCCGTCAAATATAAACCTCAAGCCTCCAAGTAACCTAAAACCTACATCCTCGAGCCTTCTACAGGTCTATACGGGACGGGTCTTTGCGGCTGTGATTCTGAAAGGTGCGGAGCGGACTGAGCACGAGCCGAGCACTGAGAACGGCTCGGGACTCGGGACCCGGCAGCCATCCGTCGTGCAAGGGTTGTTTAGCTAAAGCTATCAAGGGGGCTTGTTGGGCTTGAGGATTCTTTGGGTGCGGCTGACGAGTGACATGTGACATATCTAATACTAATTTCAGGGTTGGGAAGTTTAGTGTTTGGCGTCTCATACAAGCAACGACCGAATTTGGTTCAACCCCCCGGCCCTTCGACCGACGTTCGGTCGAACCCCCCGGCCCTTCGACCGAACTTCGGTCGAAACCCCCCTCGCCCCGTCGATCGCCGAACCCTTCGTCAAACATGTAAGAATGTAAGTCTTAGTAACAAGTGTTTTTTTGTATTATATTATATTATGGTGTGTTGTTATTATTATTGTATTGTTATTTTTAATAATTATTAATTATAGTATTGTAGATTAACATAATATTGTTACTAATAGTTACAGTTATTATAATTCTTAATTCAAGCCGCCCAAGCCAAACCCACAACTCCAAAACTTACCGCCTTCTACCCACTACCCACTCTAAACTCTAAACCTTACCGATTACCGACCTTACCCTAGCCCTAGCCCTGGCCCTGCACCTAAGCCGCCTAAGCCCAAACCCAAAACCCTGAACCTTCAAGTTTACGGTTTAGGCGTTCAGGGTTTTAGGAGTTTTGGGTTTGGGTAGGTGCGGCTGTCACCGGGAGTAGGCTGGGCTTAGGGCAGTGTAGGGCTTTGGGGTTTAGGGTTTTAGGGCGTTGGGGGTATGTAGGGCCTTTAGGTGTTTAGTGTTTAGGGTTTAGGAGTTTCGGGTCTCGGGCTTTCGGAGTCTAGGCGGTGCGGGGGCTTCAGCAGTAATTATTAGTATTAGGGCTTTTGGGTTTAGGAGTTTAGGCTTCGGGGTTTCAGGATTTCAGGCTACTTAGGGCTTCAGGATTGAGGAGGTGAGGGCATTTTAGTAGCTAGGAGTTTGAGACTTGTTGTTTGGTTGTGTTAGGGCTGTAGGCTGGGTTTAGGTTTCAGGTTTTTAGGGATTTCGGAACGTCAGGGTTTCCGTTTGGTAAGAGTTTAGGCCCGGGATTTTAGGAGATTAGGGCTCTTCAGTACTAGTACTAGCCTAGCTTTGAACAGGAGGATTACGGTTCAGGATTCAGGAGTTTAGGGTTTGGGATTTTAGTGAGTGTTTAGGGGCTGTAGGGTTTAGGGCTTCGGGTAAAGGGCTTCAGAGTTCAAAGTTCAGAGCCGAGAGTCAAGAGTCAAAGGACAACACACTTAGCTAGTCTCCCAAACCCACAACCCTAAACCCTTATACCCTATGTAACCCCAAGGGTCCCTTTAAGGGTTCGTCCTCTAGGGCACTTGAGGGTCTCGGGTTTAGGATGTTAGGCCATTCGGGCCATTCCGAACGGTTTAAGGATTTCGGGTTTTAGGGATTGAGGAGTTTCAGGCTTTAGGATTTAGGATTTGTCTTTAGTATTTAGGATTTCAGGGCTTAGGGCTTCAGGAATCAAATGAGGAGGTGAGGGCATTGGTATACTTTTGATTTTGGGCCTGGGGGTTTGGAGTTGCGCTGTCAGCTTTAAATAAACCCTAAACCATAAACCCTAAAGCCCTAAATGCCCTAAATCCGAATCAGAAGTGTTACTTGGGTGGCCGCGGTGGCCTGACTGAGGCAGGCTCCGTGGCTCCCAGCCGTGCCAGCTCGCTCGGGTGGCCGTGGTGGCCTGACTTCGGTCAGGCTCCGTGGCTCCCAACCGTTTCTGCTCTTTCAGCTTGGCTTTGGTGGCCGCGGTGGCCTGACTTCGGTCAGGCTCCGTGGCTCTCGGCCTTGCTTTCAGCTTGGCTTTGGTGGCCGCGGTGGCCTGACTTCGGTCAGGCTCCGTGGCTCTCGGCCTTGCTTTCAGCTTGGCTCGGGTGGCCGCGGTGGCCTGACTTCGGTCAGGCTCCGTGGCTCTCAGCCT